CTCTACCGTACTCAGACTGGAGATAGATTTATTTTAATTCATAACGATCTTTTGCAAGCAAGTGTAAAAGTCACCTCCTGACTTACTGTTCCTCCGTGAGAACTATTGAGGTCATTCAATGGGATCGAACCTGTGTCCGTGGACTCCCCAGGCACGACAATATGGTCTCATACATTCATTACGTTCTTGTGATTTCGCTGTGTTGTTCCTCTCTGTAAACACTATCTCAATCTTGGTGTTGGGTTTAATGGTTGTAGAGGTGGTGGCAGGTGTGGGGGTGGTGCTGGTGGTAGGTGTGGGGGTGGTGCTGGTGGTAGTAGGTGTGGGAGTTGTGCTGGTGGTAGTAGGTGTGGGGGTGGTGCTGGTGGTAGTAGGTGTGGGGGTGGTGCTGGTGGTGGTAGGTGTGGGGGTGGTGCTGGTGGTAGTAGGTGTGGGAGTTGTGCTGGTGGTAGTAGGTGTGGGGGTGGTGCTGGTGGTGGTAGGTGTGGGGGTGGTGCTTGTGGTAGTAGGTGTGGGAGTTGTGCTGGTGGTAGTAGGTGTGGGGGTGGTGCTGGTGGTGGTAGGTGTGGGGGTGGTGCTTGTGGTAGTAGGTGTGGGAGTTGTGCTGGTGGTAGTAGGTGTGGGGGTGGTGCTGGTGGTAGTAGGTGTGGGGGTGGTGCTGGTGGTGGTAGGTGTGGGGGTGGTGCTTGTGGTAGTAGGTGTGGGAGTTGTGCTGGTGGTAGTAGGTGTGGGGTGGTGCTGGTGGTGGTAGGTGTGGGGGTGGTGCTGGTGTAGTAGGTGTGGGAGTTGTTGCTGGTGGTAGTAGGTGTGGGGGTGGTGCTGGTGGTAGTAGGTGTGGGGGTGGTGCTGGTGGTGGTAGGTGTGGGGGTGGTGCTTGTGGTAGTAGGTGTGGGAGTTGTGCTGGTGGTAGTAGGTGTGGGGGTGGTGCTGGTGGTGGTAGGTGTGGGGGTGGTGCTGGTGGTAGGTGTGGGAGTTTGTGCTGGTGGTAGTAGGTGTGGGGGTGGTGCTGGTGGTAGTAGGTGTGGGGGTGGTGCTGGTGGTGGTAGGTGTGGGGGTGGTGCTTGTGGTAGTAGGTGTGGGAGTTGTGCTGGTGGTAGTAGGTGTGGGGGGTGGTGCTGGTGGTGGTAGGTGTGGGGGTGGTGCTTGTGGTAGTAGGTGTGGGAGTTGTGCTGGTGGTAGTAGGTGTGGGGGTGGTGCTGGTGGTAGTAGGTGTGGGGGTGGTGCTGGTGGTGGTAGGTGTGGGGGTTGTGCTGGTGGTAGTAGGTCGGGGCGGGTGGTGGTAGGTGATAATCAATCATGTTACAAATGTTGGTTGTCGTCTGGTGGTGATAGTAAAAATGGTGTTGTCAGTAGTAGTGCTGTAAATTGTGATGTCAGTGGTGGTGGTGTTAGTGGTGATGACAGTGGTGGTGGTGGTGGCCAGGGGAGGGGGGGGGGGGTGACCCAGCCCACAGGGGACGCTCTAAGGGGTCAATATTGTGTACATGGTTGGTGACGTCAGAGGCACACCGCCGACCCTCTTTCACACTCGCACAACATTCTCAACAATTATCGAGCATGCAACACCGCACTATACTACCACATACTTATAACTCAAGTGTTGCCACTTGCAACACTTCTCAATATCACAAGACAAAATTTAGGTTGAGTGGTATTTACATTTGTTAATATCCGGAGAGAATAGGTTTTACTGCCTCATAATGTTACGTCAGCCAGGTCTTAGTTCCTTCACCTCCAACAACCCGCTCTCGCACAAGACAGTACATATATGACTTATTGCTTATAGTCACTATTTGGCTGATTAATAAGTACATATGTGGTATATGCCAAGTTATATTTCGTTTTTAAGATACAAACTCTTTCTATAAATTTGCTAGAGACCAGTTTTAATATTAGGAATTTCTTTTTCAGTTTTATTACAAATAGAGATTTTATACAATATTTGACAATATCCTGAGTTACTTTACAATTTATTTACATATTTTGGTTTTGTTTTATTATTTTTATAAAACTGTAATATCAATATAGGTATAGGTTAAGTACTAATTGTAATTAAGAAACAATAAGATGCTTATCTTAACATACTAAGAAGGTTAGGTTAGGTCGGTGTTTTCTATTCAGCATTTCAAGGTAAACTCAAATATTCACAATAAATTAGTACGTCACATGTGCATTTATTAATAAGCCAATAGTGACTATAAGCAAGTGCGAGAACGGGTTGCCTCCAACGCTTCTTCGCCCCCCCCCCTGCTCTTTCAGGAATAATAATTAATAATTCACTTTGTGCGGGGACAGGAAGCCAGAGTGTATTGATACACGTTATCGTACCTCCCCCCCCCCAAGGTCGAATTATCCCCCCCCCCCCAGGATGCAACCCCACAACAAGCTGACTAACTCCCGAGTACCTACTTGCTGTAGGTGAACAGAGGGATTAGGTAAAAAGAAATGTGCCTAACCATTTCTGACCCGCCCGGGATTCGTACCCGGAATTCTAGATTGTGCGTCGAGAACGAAGCCGACTGTACTACCGGGACCCTGATGTACTTGACAATGTCCTTGAGGTTGCTAGTGAAACTACAACCTTAAGAGTTGGCAACCTCAGCTCATCTCAACCCTCACTCTCAGCTCATCTCAACTCATCTCAAACATCACTCATCAGACTCTTCATACGATGAGCTTATTATTTATATCCATTGCCAATATAGGAAATTAAATGTTAACTGTCATGTAAAGTCGAGGATGAATGAGGCCCCAACTGTGTAGCAGACTCGTGGTATGGTTGGTTCATCTCGTGTACCCAACATCTACAGGCTGAGAAAACATGTACCAAACACGTATTATAAACCCGCTCCATCCATCCCTCCAGTGTGTGTATGGCGGTGCGGTGCGGTGGGTGCACACAGCGACCCGCACACCACCACCACACCCTACTGCACAACTCACCTTCCAAAACATTAAACCAGGAGCAAAATGTCTAGCAAACAACGTCGTTATAACCTTGAAAAGATATGCTTATAACATTGAGACGACGTCCTGTAGACGTGAATGACCTTGATATAACGTTCACAGAGCACTCTCGCCAGAGTGCAGCACCCAGTGGGTGCACTCGGGCGAGTACCTCCACGAGTAACGTTGCCTCAACATTACTCCTGCGTGTTGTGGTCACTGGGAGGAGGAGTTTCCTGGGGACACCACTACCCCAGCTGCTGGCTGGTGGGGGCGCCCTGCTGTCTGCCAGCCCCAGTCTTCTCCCACCTCCCACAGTGGCTCCACTCTCACCCCCCCCCCACCACCACCACCCCCACCACCACCCCCACCACCACCACCACCACCAATCACCGTCGTATCTTCACTGTCGTTACTCTGTCACCATTCAAATGATGATTTATCAACGCACATCAAACATTCATAAACGTTAAAGTCATCCAACATCGAATCAACTGACCAAACGTTGATTAAACCTTAACTTTTGATCGTTGATTGAAACCTTTTAAACCTTTGATTGATCGTTGATTTTTCGTTAATGCAACACTGATGCAACATTGATCCAGCGTTGATTAAAGGTTACTAGAGGAAGCTGGGGTAGTACACCTTGTCTGAGGGTGACGCTGGCAGGGTTGTGAAGGACAGGGTGACGCTGGCAGGGTTGTGGAGGACAGGGTGACGCTGGCAGGGTTGTGAAGGACAGGGTGACGCTGGCAGGGTTGTGGAGGACAGGGTGACGCTGGCAGGGTTGTGAAGGACAGGGTGACGCTGGCAGGGTTGTGAAGGACAGGGTGACGCTGGCAGGGTTGTGAAGGACAGGGTGACGCTGGCAGGGTTGTGAAGGACAGGGTGACGCTGGCAGGGTTGTGGAGGACAGAGTGACGCTGGCAGGGTTGTGGAGGACAGAGTGACGCTGGCAGGGTTGTGGAGGACAGGGTGACGCTGGCAGGGTTGTGTAGGACAGGGTGACGCTGGCAGGGTTGTGAAGGACAGGGTGACGCTGGCAGGGTTGTGGAGGACAGGGTGACGCTGGCAGGGTTGTGGAGGACAGGGTGACGCTGGCAGGGTTGTGGAGGACAGGGTGACGCTGGCAGGGTTGTGAAGGACAGGGTGACGCTGGCAGGGTTGTGAAGGACAGGGTGACGCTGGCAGGGTTGTGAAGGACAGGGTGACGCTGGCAGGGTTGTGAAGGACAGGGTGACGCTGGCAGGGTTGTGAAGGACAGGGTGACGCTGGCAGGGTTGTGAAGGACAGGGTGACGCTGGCAGGGTTATGAAGGACAGGGTGACGCTGGCAGGGTTATGAAGGACAGGGTGACGCTGGCAGGGTTGTGAAGGACAGGGTGACGCTGGCAGGGTTGTGAAGGACAGGGGGACGCTGGCAGGGTTGTGAAGGACAGGGGGACGCTGGCAGGGTTGTGAAGGACAGGGTGACGCTGGCAGGGTTGTGAAGGACAGGGTGACGCTGGCAGGGTTGTGAAGGACAGGGTGACGCTGGCAGGGTTATGAAGGACAGGGTGACGCTGGCAGGGTTATGAAGGACAGGGTGACGCTGGCAGGGTTGTGAAGGACAGGGTGACGCTGGCAGGGTTGTGAAGGACAGGGTGACGCTGGCAGGGTTGTGAAGGACAGGGTGACGCTGGCAGGGTTGTGAAGGACAGGGTGACGCTGGCAGGGTTGTGAAGGACAGGGGGACGCTGGCAGGGTTGTGAAGGACAGGGTGACGCTGGCAGGGTTGTGAAGGACAGGGTGACGCTGGCAGGGTTGTGTCTGGATAATGTGTTGTAACATGATATATTTATCACGGTATAAACGTCACCAGGACAAAGACAGTGGTCAACACAGAGGTGGTGCGTGATGAGTAATGCATCACACCAAGAGCAGTGGGTACTCACGTATCTCTCTCTCTCTCTCTCTCACAGATCTCGAGAGAGAGAGAGGCTGCGCCTGAGTGCGTTATGGCAGAGGAGAGTTAGCGAGTAAGGAAGGAAGTGACAATTAAGAGGTGTGGCTCACCTGTATGGCGTGCTGGCGGTCCTTGTAGAAGATGATAGCGTGTCCCTGGAGGAGGGCCCAGGCCGCCTTCCACGACCGGTCTCCTGCCTTCTGTAACACACGACACACACACACATCAACACCCACACGCGATAACCAGAACGGTAAAATGTACGTGAAAGCCATACTAATAACTACACTTAGGAATCATTACCTATCACGGAAACACACACACACACACACACACACACACACACACACACACACACACACACACACACACACACACACACACACGTGTGTACTCACCTAATTGTGCTTGCGAGGGTTGAGCTTTGGCTCTTTGGTCCCGCCTCTCAACTGTCAATCAACTGGTGTACAGATTCCTGAGCCTACTGGGCTCTATCATATCTACATTTGAAACTGTGTATGGAGTCAGCCTCCACCACATCACTTCCTAGTGCATTCCATTTATTAACTACTCTGACACTGAAAAAATTCTTCTAACGTCTCTGTGGCTCATCTGGGTACTAAGTTTCCACCTGTGTCTCCTTGTTCGTGTCCCACCCGTGCTGAAGAGTTTGTCTTTGTCCACCCTGTCAATTCCCCTGAGAATTTTGTAGGTGGTTATCATGTCTCCCCTTACTCTTCTGTTTTCCAGGGATGTGAGGTTCAGCTCCTTTAGCCTTTCCTCGTAGCTCAATCCTCTCAGTTCCGGAACGAGCCTGGTGGCATACCGCTGAATCTTCTCTAACTTTGTCTTGTGTTTAACTAGGTATGGACTCCAGGCTGGAGCTGCATACTCCAGGATTGGTCTTACATAAGTGGTATACAGGGTTCTGAAAGATTCCTTACACAAGTTTCTGAAGGCAGTTCTTATGTTGGCCAGTCTAGCATATGCCGCTGATGATATTCTTTTGATGTGGGCCTCTGGGGATAGGTTCGGTGTGATATCAACCCCCAGATCCTTCTCTCTATTTGACTCTTGCAGGATTTCCCCTCCCAGATGATACCTTGTGTTCAGCCTCCTGCTCCCTTCGCCTAATTTCATCACCTTACACTTTCCCGAGTTGAACTTTAGCAGCCATTTTCTAGACCATTCCTCCAGTTTATCCAGGTCATCCTGTAGTCTCTGTCTATCTTCATCCGTCTTGATTCTTCTCATAATTTTTGCATCATCAGCAAACATCGAGAGGAATGAGTCTATACCCTCTGGAAGATCGTTCATATATATTAGAAACAGGATGGGTCCAAGTACTGAGCCCTGTGGGACTCCGCTGATGACATCTCGCCACTCTGATGTCTCCCCCCTCACCGTTACTCGCTGTTTCCTGTTGCTTAAGTACTCCCTTATCCACTGGAGCACCTTCCCTTTTACTCCTGCCTGTTGCTCCAACTTTTTTAACAGCCTTTTATGGGGTACTGTGTCAAAGGCTTTTTGGCAATCCAGGAAAATGCAGTCGGCCCACCCTTCTCTTTCCTGCCTAATTTTCGTTGCCTGGTCATAAAATTCTATTAAACCTGTGAGGCACGATTTACCATCTCTGAACCCCTGTTGGTGGTGCGTTACAAAGTTATTTCCCTCCAGATGCTCTACGAGCATTTTTCTCACAATCTTCTCCAGCACCTTGCATGGTATACAAGTATGTGTGTGTGTGTGTGTGTGTGTGTGTGCGTGTGTGTGTGTGTGTGTGTGTGTGTGTGTGTGTGTGTGTGTGTGTGTGTGTGTGTGTGTGTGCTGTAGTGCTGGTTAAAAATAGTTAAATAATACATAAAATAAATAATAAATAATAAATTCAATAAAATAAATAGTTAATAGTTGGAAAATAGTGCTGGGAAGACAGGACACCACGAGCGTAGCTCTCATCCTGTAACTACACTTAGGTAATTACGTCATGGAAGCGCGCGCGCGCACACACACACACGTCATGGAAGCGCGCGCGCGCGCATACACACACACACACACACACACACACACACACACACACACACACACACACACACACACACACACACACACACACACACATACAGTAAGACATGCCAAGTGTGCTGGTGTGCTGGACGCAACAGCAGAGACCAAAAACCCAACAAGAGCGCTGGCTGGCACCAACCTTGCCATCCACCATAGTCAGCTTGACGTGGAGGGCTCCCTGTCTCACAATGGCGGACTGGAGGGAGGCCGGGGAGGGCAGCTCCCTCACACACACGGGGCCCGTGGGGGCCTCTGGAGGGGCCTCGCCGCCCGCCGCCCGCACCACGCCCTCACCACGCACGCCGCTGTAAACAAAACACGGGGTCAAACACCTGACTATAAACAAAATGGCATCATTCAAACAGTCCTCTATCATCTACAGGTTATATTTGTTGACGGAATTGTCCAATCCGCTTAAAATGCGACGTATTAATAAAAATTCAAGACTCATCACATTGACGTTTTCTGTGCGTCGGCGTCGATGGGTTAGGGAGGTTGCTTGGGTTCGTACGTTTCTGGTTAGGTAAATATGTTGCAATTATTACGGAGCCGGTAAGTAGGCACTAACTATTAAGTATAAGTATCAGGTGAGTATAATTGGCAAGTATCTGTATTGACAACTCATTGTACATTCTTCTACAAATATCAGTAAATACGTGTGTGGCATTCATAAAGTCTAAAGTTTGAGACAACCACAGTATAAGGGCAACAACCCATGATAAACACCAGGAAACACACCACAGTATAAGGGCAACAACCCATGATAAACACCAGGAAACACACCACAGTATAAGGGCAACAACCCATGATAAACACCAGGAAACACACCACAGTATAAGGGCAACAACCCATGATAAACACCAGGAAACACACCACAGTATAAGGGCAACAACCCATGATAAACACCAGGAAACACACCACAGTATAAGGGCGACAACCCATGATAAACACCAGGAAACACACCACAGTATAAGGGCGACAACCCATGATAAACACCAGGAAACACACCACAGTATAAGGGCGACAACCCATGATAAACACCAGGAAACACACCACAGTATAAGGGCGACAACCCATGATAAACACCAGGAAACACACCACAGTATAAGGGCAACAACCCATGATAAACACCAGGAAACACACCACAGTATAAGGGCGACAACCCATGATAAACACCAGGAAACACACCACAGTATAAGGGCAACAACCCATGATAAACACCAGGAAACACACCACAGTATAAGGGCAACAACCCATGATAAACACCAGGAAACAATAATCACGGTGTAAAAAGTCTTCAGAACGTCTCTTCAAGATTCGTGGTGTTGTAATTTCCCCGCAACACAATATTAAACAACCTGTGTATCCCATACCACGGATGCCTAAAGGGCAAGTGTAAATATTGCTAAAACAAATGAAAAATTATTGAGGTATGTCTTGGGAGTCCAGGGGACGATTCCTGACCACACGCACATCTCCTGTGCCAGGCGAGTACGACGGGGCTCACCATAGCCCGTGCTGCTTGCAACGTTTGGTTCCCAGTAGATGAATCTGAAACAACATCCTCACCACAATATTTTCTTTTTGCAGGCGATGAGTCACAATAACGTGGCTGAAGTATGTTGACCAGACCACACACTAGAAGTTGAAGGGACGACGATGTTTCGGTCCGTCCTGGACCATTCTCATGTCGATTGTCTTGAGAATTCACAATCGACTTGAGAATGGTCCAGGACGGACCGAAACGTCGTCGTCCCTTCAACTGCAACCGTGTGTGGTCTGGTCAACATTTTCTTTTTGTCTCACGTTATTCTAATTTCATTGTGCATTAAAAGTAATTCAGTCTGAAAACATTGCTACTTCATCATCTTGCAATACATCGTTGTCAATACATCAGCGTCTCATCTTACATAAAATGTTTCAAGCTGAAAGCTATTTAGTTTAAGATTAAGCTTAGGTAGACAGTGCCTTATTTTACGTGAAGTATTATGGGGTATAGGTCAAGGTAGGAGTTCATCTAATATACCCATCTTATAGGATGACAAGTCGTTCACTGCTGGAGTCAAGTCTACCAGTCAAGTCTACCAGGTAAGTCTATCAGTCAAGTCTACCAGGTAAGTCTATCAGTTAAGTCTACTAGGTAAGAACACAAGAATAAAGGAACTGCAATGGGACTATTGGCCAACATGCAGTAGCTCCTATATATATATATATATATATATATATATATATATATATATATATATATATATATATATATATATATATATATATATATATATATATATATATATATACTGAGTGTATTCACACACGTTAGGCTTATTTCGAGGTCATCTCCCCCCCCAGGATGCAACCCCACACCAAGCTGACTAACTCCTGAGTATCTACTTACTGCTAGGTAAGTTTGATCAACCAGGCTGTGACTCATACGTCAGGCTGCGAGCAGCCGCGTCCAACAGCCTGGTTGATCAGTCCGGCAACCAGGAGGCCTGGTCGACGACCGGGCCGCGGGGACGCTAAGCCCCGGAAGCACCTCAAGGTAACCTAAAGGTAGGTGGACAGGTGCATTAGGTGATAGGAAATGCGTCCAAACATATTTGTCCCGCCTGGGATTCGAACCCGGAATTATTTATTGTGGGTGGAAAACGAAGCCGACTGTACTACCGGGACCCTTAATAGTAAATTATGAGAATATCTTCTAATATCCACGAGTGACCTAAATAATTAAATAATGTTAGACGCGTATCTGCCGTTTGGTCTAAAACCTTTCGGAATTTACTCATATAATACTTTAGTCGGTAATTTAATTTAATAATACTGAAGTAGGTAATGTAACCAAATTTAACATCATCAAATAATTTTTTTCAGGTAAAAGTACATATATACAAGATGAGTTACAACTATAATGTTGGATGTCTAGATAAGAGTTAGTACATACAATAGCTAAAGTCACTAATGCGCACTGCGTCTCGGGCAAAACCTCCCAGGCAACATCCTCCCAGGCATTATATTTCCGTCTTGAAGCGCCTGAGAGAGCACTATAAGCTCAGCAGCCATATATAGTTGAACAACAAAATGCTGTTTATGACTTTCATGTTGTGTTGTGATGTGAGCGGCAGCGGCCATATTAGCCAGCACTCTCCTGGAGGCCACGGTAAGAAGACTAGTTTTTACTGATCAATTTTCATTTTCACCAGACGGCTCCTCCCTCACACCAGGCAGTTGTGCCATGTATGGCCACAAAACACTAAGAGCATGGATGTGCTCGCCGAGGCTGCTTGATCACCCACCACGGCAAGAGATCTTATCGACCAAGTCTTGGCGTTTTGCATCAGTCTCCCCAAGAATACGTATTACAGAAAGCGGTTTTTGTCATTGACGATGAGAGACTCTTATAATTCGTGTTGTCGGGGGCAAGTGCCCCATAGGTCGACATGCAGGAAACTGCGTTAGGAAATTATTAGCAATTAGGAAATTGACCTTCCTCAGGATGGAACCCACAACAGTAGCCTAACTCCCAGGTACCTGTTTACTGCTAGGTGAACAGAGGACTCAGGTCTAAGCTCGTCTTAAGTCGAACTACTGACCTTCCACAGAATGCTGCCCACAACAGCTGCCTAGCGTCCGGGTACATATTGAATGCTAGGTGAACAGATGCATTAGGTGAATGAAAACGTGCCCAACCAATTCCTTCCCGTGCTATAGGAATCACACAGACACAAAATACATAGCTGGCTACAGAAGACATATATACCAGTCATATACAGTGTATAGAAGGTGCTACAGGAAGGCGCACGAGTCACCGCACTACAGACGGTGCTTCACTGTGTCATCTTCAAACCGATGAAGCACTCCAGTAGGCGCTCTAACTAATTAAAAAAGGGCACAGAAACCCTACAGGACCAAAAAAGACATTCCAAATACAATGATAATAAGCAGATCCAGTTCACTGCTAACAGGTGAGTTCAAAACAGAAACAAATATAGAAAAGCATAGAAAAAGAGAAAACAGCAATACATCATTTAAAAAGTATTGAATTTATAAAATCAAATTATGAGACGTCATCTTGACGTCATAAACTAGTAGAAACCTAAAACCCCAGACAATGCATAAATGTTCAAAATACGGACCACAGGTCCAAGGATTTCTATCTAAAAGTATTAGTAATAAGAGGTGGAATATTTTCTTTAACTGCGCTGCAGGTGCGGTCACCATGCTATGAAGTGGAGGCAGGTTCTCTTGAGAACACACACAGAAGGATGACTAAGATAATACTGGGAATGATGAAACTTTTGTGTAGAATAAATATACCTAATTTGCATCCCCAGGAAAGGCATAAAATAAAAAGCCTGACTAAAGCGCACAAGAGGGTTTAACAATGGAGATATAATTTGGGTTCCAAAACACCAATCCAAGCTTGAACACAAATCAATGGATTTAAATTAAAGTTATATTTACAAAATAATAACACACACATGTAAGCATGTGATTGTAGATTTGTTCACAGTATTGAGAGGTAATATCACAAAGTAAACTAGGGAGTGCACGCACACATTACACAAGTACACAATACAGTCCCTAAGTATTTGTCGACCGTCTTGCCTCACAACTTCACCACACTCTACTTGATCACACACTGGCTATCACACAGTGAATGTCTGATATGTGATATTTGTTAATAATTGTGAGGAAGAAGCTAGGTAAGGTTAGGTTGGCATCGAGCAGTCGGGAACTGCTGTGGGGAGCTGCTGTGGGGAGCTGCTGTGGGGAGCTGCTGTGGGGAGCTGCTGCGGGGAGCTGCTATGGAGGACTGCTGCGGGCAGCTGCTGTGGGGAGCTGCTGTGGGGAGCTGCTGCGGGGAGCTGCTGCGGGGAGCTGCTGCGGGGAGCTGCTGCGGGGAGCTGCTGCGGGGAGCTGCTGTGGGGAGCTGCTGTGGGAAGCTGCTGCGGGGAGCTGCTGCGGGGAGCTGCTGTGGGGAGCTGCTGTGGGGAGCTGCTGTGGGGAGCTGCTGCGGGGAGCTGCTGCGGGGAGCTGCTGTGGGAAGCTGCTGCGGGGAGCTGCTGCGGGGAGCTGCTGCGGGGAGCTGCTGTGGGGAGCTGCTGCGGGGAGCTGCTGTGGGGAGCTGCTGTGGGGAGCTGCTGCGGGGAGCTGCTGCGGGGAGCTGCTGTGGGGAGCTGCTGCGGGGAGCTGCTATGGAGGACTGCTGCGGGGAGCTGCTGTGGGGAGCTGCTGTGGGGAGCTGCTGTGGGGAGCTGCTGTGGGGAGCTGCTGTGGGGAGCTGCTGCGGGGAGCTGCTGCGGGGAGCTGCTGTGGGGAGCTGCTGTGGGGAGCTGCTGCGGGGAGCTGCTATGGAGGACTGCTGCGGGGAGCTGCTGCGGGGAGCTGCTGCGGGGAGCTGCTGCGGGGAGCTGCTGCGGGGAGCTGCTGTGGGGAGCTGCTATGGAGGACTGCTGTGGGTGATTAGGTCAAGTGTGAGGGGCTGTGGGCGTGTGTGGAGTCATAGTATGTAGTGTGCAAGATAGCGTCTATTAACCCCCGTTATTTAACATTGCATTTTCACGGAAGGATAATATGGAACCCATGGAACAGCCTACCCGCCAACGCCGTAAATGCCAAGACAGTAATGCAGTAAATATTGTTCTGGTATTCCGTCTAGGGCCAGGGATTCTTCAAGAATTTACGAGTTCATTTATGAAACCTGTACATCTTTCCTCAATCATGGCGACATTGTTTACATATATGAAGCAACTCGAGCTTCGAAGCGCCACGATGTTGTCGGTAACAATAATTACCTGGGATTGTGATGTTTCAAAACTCGTAAACTGTTTAATAAATGCAAACTAAGCCACTACGATTGTGGAAAGATGTATAGGTTTCGTAAGTGGACATGTAAATGCTTGACGAATCGTGGCCGTGACTGATGTTTCCTCCAACCCTAAGAGTGTGTGAGTGAGTGATGATAAACATTTCTGGGTATGCAATCGTGGCCTTGTATGGCCTGGTGGTGTAAACCTTCCAGAAGTCAGCAGCCTTCACTACACCCAGGCAATGTTGCTGTTGAATTTCCCGCGCATTCTTCCCTCTGCAACACCACGCTAACCGTCCATGACGTGCACGTCACGCGTGTTTGTAAACATTGATTCATAACACTGTTGTGAATGGCGTGTGGTGGTAGGCTGCACCACCACCACCACCACGGATCACAACACTTACCGTCTTCTTCACTCACTCTCTCACACTGTGTACGGCAGCCAGCAAGTCCTTAAAAGTGCGACGCATTACTAAACAAAAATTAACGCTCCGTAATAATGATGTTTCCCGTGCATTTGCCTAACCAGGAACGTATGAACGCCAACAAGCCAACCTAACCTATCGAGGCCAATGTATAGAAAACGTTAATATTAGTGCTTTATTTGTTACTAATACATTGCTTTTTTAGCGGTTTCTCTAAAATATAGCCTTAGAGGAACCAATCCAGAGTTACAGCCCCGCTCCTGTGCCAGGTAAGTCCACTACGGGCTCACCATAGCCCGTGCTACTTGAAACTTTTTGTTGCAAGTAGCTGAATGTAAAACAACAAACAACAACATAGCGGACTGGTCAATTTGGTCAAAGTTGCGACACGACGGGGTAGAGGACTTAAGAGAGGGTGTAGAGACTTACCTCCTGTCGTCGTTGTCGGAGTCGAGGTCGGAGTCCGAGTACATGCGGTCCCCGGAGGTGGCCTTGAGGTACGACACTCGTCGCACCAGTCGTTCCCCTTCATCACCTAAAATATAACACAGTCATATTACACACTTAACTTCCACTCTTCTCACTCTGTACTAATACACTACTGTACCTCTACTCTCACTACTGTACCTCTAGTTGGTGGCCTGGGAGGCTGATAGCCCCCTCCCTCGCCCCAATAACCAATAATGAGTGATCTGGGAGGTGTCATATCATTGTCAACTCATGCTTCACTTCTGATCTTTATGACCCACATATAACTGGTTTATTAAGGCTTATTTGGCTGCAAATGTATTACCCACGTGGAGATCCTGGATGGCTATCTCACACTGGGACACATCCCCAGGAAGCAGCCCTTAGCAGCTGTCTAACTCCCGGGGTACCAATTTACTGCTAGGTGAACAGGGGCATCTGTCGGAAATTTCCAACACCCCAAATATTAACCCCTAGTACGATAAGATAAATGTATGGTGCTAGGAAATCAAATTTACTAACACATGAACAAATCCACAAGGGCCGTGACGAGGATTCGAACCTTCGTCCGAGATGATCCCAGACGCTGCCTTAATCGACTGAGCTACGACATGGTAAAAAGAGTTAAAAAGAATAGCACTCGACCTATTGACACAGCTCGAGTGCATGGAGGAGTTGTGTAGAACCCTGGTTTGTGTCTCGGAGAGGCTGCAGGATCCAGTAAGTTCAGTAGAATTTCGGTTTCAACTCTTTTAACCATGTCGCAGCTCAGTCGATTAAGGCAGCGTCTGGGATCATCTCGGACGTAGGTTCGAATCCTCGTCACGGCCCTTGTGGATTTGTTCATTGATACATCACGCTATTGTGTTTTCCGTGTGTTACTAAGACATGTATATCTCCACACCGGGTAGACTCACAGTGTCCTACTCTTTACCGCCCTGTGCGCTAGTTGTGCCATTTCCTGTTTCTTGCTTTATTAAGTAGTGTGTGAGTGTTGGTGTGGTAATGGCGCGCCTCGGCTCCTCTATAGCAGCCCCCTGCTGACAAAATATTCAAGGCGCTCGTGTAATATCTTAGATATTACCTTCTCTGATGCTGCATTATAGACTGTCTTAACATTGTGATGGTGGTTGTGGTGGTGGTGGTGGTGGCAACTATAGTAGTGGTAGTGGTGGTGGTGGCAACTGTAGTAGTGGTAGTAGTAGTAGTGATGGTGGTTGTGGTAGTGGTGATGGTAGTAATGGTTCTAGTGATGGCTGTGGTAGTGGTCATTTTGAGAGGTTATCTTGAGATGATTTCGGGGCTTTAGTGTCCCCGCGGCCCGGTCCTCGACCAGGCCTCCACCCCCAGGAAGCAGCCCGTGACAGCTGACTAACACCCAGGTACCTATTTACTGCTAGGTAACAGGGGCATAGGGTGAAAGAAACTCTGCCCATTGTTTCTCGCCGGCGCTCGGGATCGAACCCAGGACCACAAGTCGAGCGTGCTGTCCGCTCGGCCGACCGGCTCCCCATTATAGTGGTGACTATAGTAATGGTAGTCCTGGTACCATTATAGTGGTGACTATAGTAATGGTAGTCCTGGTACCATTATAGTGGTGACTATAGTAATGGTAGACCTGGTACCATTATAGTGGTGACTATAGTAATGGTAGACCTGGTACCATTATAGTGGTGACTATAGTAATGGTAGACCTGGTACCATTATAGTGGTGACTATAGTAATGGTAGTCCTGGTACCATTATAGTGGTGACTATAGTAATGGTAGTCCTGGTACCATTATAGTTGTGACTATAGTAATGGTAGACCTGGTACCATTATAGTGGTGACTATAGTAATGGTAGACCTGGTACCATTATAGTGGTGACTATAGTAATGGTAGTCCTGGTACCATTATAGTGGTGACTATAGTAATGGTAGTCCTGGTACCATTATAGTGGTGACTATAGTAATGGTAGTCCTGGTACCATTATAGTGGTGACTATAGTAATGTTAGTCCTGGTACCATTATAGTGGTGACTATAGTAATGGTAGTCCTGGTACCATTATAGTGGTGACTATAGTAATGGTAGACCTGGTACCATTATAGTGGTGACTATAGTAATGGTAGTCCTGGTACCATTATAGTGGTGACTATAGTAATGGTAGACCTGGTACCATTATAGTAGTGACTATAGTAATGGTAGTCCTGGTACCATTATAGTGGTGACTATAGTAATGGTAGTCCTGGTACCATTATAGTGGTGACTATAGTAATGGTAGTCCTGGTACCATTATAGTGGTGACTATAGTAATGGTAGTCCTGGTACCATTATAGTGGTGACTATAGTAATGGTAGTCCTGGTACCATTATAGTGGTGACTATAGTAATGGTAGACCTGGTACCATTATAGTGGTGACTATAGTAATGGTAGTCCTGGTACCATTATAGTGGTGACTATAGTAATGGTAGTCCTGGTACCATTATAGTGGTGACTATAGTAATGGTAGTCCTGGTACCATTATAGTGGTGACTATAGTAATGGTAGTCCTGGTACCATTATAGTGGTGACTATAGTAATGGTAGTCCTGGTACCATTATAGTGGTGACTATAGTAATGGTAGTCCTGGTACCATTATAGTGGTGACTATAGTAATGGTAGTCCTGGTACCATTATAGTGGTGACTATAGTAATGGTAGTCCTGGTACCATTATAGTGGTGACTATAGTAATGGTAGACCTGGTACCATTATAGTGGTGACTATAGGAATGGTAGTCCTGGTACCATTATAGTGGTGACTATAGGAATGGTAGTCCTGGTACCATTATAGTGGTGACTATAGTAATGGTAGTCCTGGTACCATTATAGTGGTGACTATAGTAATGGTAGTCCTGGTACCAGTAGGAGTACACAGACACGTAAAGGTCCACCCACAACCCAACATTTGCCTCCCAAACATAAAACAAGGCAGCACAAGGCAGCAGCAGCAGCAGGAGTGCGCGCGTGCGTGAGCGTGCACACCTACCACTCACCTGGTATGTGTACCATCACCCCCACTCCTCAAGCAGCACGTTATCTCCAACAAAGATAACACCTGCCATAACCACCACCACCAACACCAGTGAGGGACAAGTGTATCTCACCTACACAAGTGCCTCCACCCCCCCCCCCCCTCCGTTACGAAGGCCAAGCACACAGTCTACCTGCTTGATGGGGTTCTGGGAGCAGATAGATAATCTGCTATCCGAGTAGCGGATAGCAGATTATCTGCTAGCTGATAGCTAGCTATAAATTAGCAGCTATTTCAGATAGCTACTATCTGAGTAGGGGTATTGATAGACAATCCGTTATCTGCACATGTGAACAGTTTGTACAATTTATCAATAAATGTTCGTATGAAGCTAAGAGCACTTGGTTAGACCATTCGTATTGTTGTCGGGGAGAGCCTACTCTTCCTACACAAACACTTCCCCTTAATTTGTCAAGTTGTGATCACTTTTAACTTTTAACTTTTAACCCTTGCATTTATTTTATTTATTTATATGTATATATATATAAATATATATATATATATATATATATATATATATATATATATATATATATATATATATATATATATATATATATATATATATATATGTCGTACCTAGTAGCCAGAACTCACTTTTTGGCCTACTATTCAAGGCCCGATTTGCCTAATAAGCCAAGTTTTCCTGAATTAATATATTTTTTCAAATTTTTTTCTTATGAAATGATAAAGCTACCCATTTCATTATGTATGAGGTCAATTTTTTTTATTGGAGGTAAAATTAACGTAGATATATGACCGAACCTAACCAACCCTACCTAACCTAACCTAACCTATCTTCATAGGTTAGGTTTGGTTAGGTAGCCGAAAAAGTTAGGTTAGGTAGGTTAGGTAGTCGAAAAACAATTAATTCGTGAAAACTTGGCTTATTAGGCAAATCGGGCCTTGCATAGTAGGCTGAGAAGTGCGTTCTGGCTACTAGGTACGACATATATATATATATATATATATATGATACATCCCTCGAGGTGAAGACCAGGCCAAGGTTCATCAACCATTTACGCAACCACTTACGAAACCTGTACATCTTTCCATAATCATGTTTAACCATAATCATGGTTAAACATTTATTAAACAGTTTATACGAGTTCGGAAAATTCACAACCCCAAGGTTATTATTTATATAAACAAACAACTTCGCAGCTCACAAGCGGTTAAATAAGTATAAACAAAGCCGGCATAATTGAAGAAAGATATACAGGTTTCGTAAGTGGTTGCGTAAATGCTTGATAAATCCTGGCTGATACAATTCTTTATTCTATCTTACCTCCTAGTAATGCCATAATTCCCAATCTCATCCTTCATCACTGAAGGTTTAGAATGAACCTGTGGTTTACCTGGCCTGGTTTCCTGAGGTTTAAACCCGCAGCCTTACCGGGGACCAATGTTGTGTGTGTGAAAACTTCCTCGATAATGCTGTTGTTGGGAACATTGTGGAGGTTGATACAGCCATCACAACCTGGCTGATCCGGTAATACCTGCACCAACGGGTCAAGTCACTCTTCAAATGTTGTACTTCTACTTTCCACCGATATTTAATTCCTATTGTCGGGGACAGGAAGCCTGCACTTAAACTTATCAAAGTGCCCCATATGCCTACTACTGGCCTTCTCCAGGAGGCCTCATACAACAGTTGTTTATCTGCCAGGCACTTGTTTTACTGCTGGGTGAACAGGCGCATCGGGGAATAGGACACGTGGCCAACCGTTTCTGTCCTCCCCGGGAACTGAACCCGGGTCCCTCGCTTGTTGGCCGAGCTGGGTGTGAGCGGACACCCTCACATCTTTGTGGGTGTAGTTTCTCTACTAATGCTCGGGCAAGGTTGTGTGTCTCAGCGTCTTATCATCTCCTCCAGACATTATCTACTATACCCTCCATATTGTGGTGATTTGGGTCAAGTTAAGAGCATCGTAATATTGACGCTTCCTGGAACTGCCAACCTCGGCCTCACAGCCCACTCTCATAAAGAGAGGCCAAATGTCCATTCCACCCAGC